GAGGAGGGGGAGGGGGGGAGAAAATCGGGAGAGAGGAGAGAGAAAACGTAACGACGACGTCCGAAATAAACACGGCGAAATATCGATCCTCCTTCGAGACAATCAGATTTCCCACCGTCCGCGCGGTTATTTCATCAACACTGTCGTCCAGATTGTCCAGAAATGCCTCGGACCGCTGAGTTCTTGTTAGCCAATCGAAACTCGCGTCGACGCGGAGCGGACGTCACGTCTTGTCGTTCAATAAGCATCGTCCTTTAAGTCGGTAACAACACGAAAAGACGCGCGCGGCGCGAAAAGGTCGCACTGTGTTTACGTTGCGCACGTTACGCATTTAAAATCACACGTCCGGCGAAACATTCGGCAAATACAGTCGTTAAAATACGTGAGATTAAGTGAAATCGGCGGTACATTTCCCGAGAGAGATGAACGAGATCGTGGCGAAATTTGAGACTTGGAGGGAACTAATTGAGTTGGAGAAACTACAAGGTGTGTCGGAGGATGTCGAGGTATGTATATGTTCTCTTTCTCTCTACTTGAAATAGTATCCTTATTTGTGAACACGCAGCTCTTACTGTCAATATCTTTCAGATGAGCATCCGTGAATTGAACGGCCATATATTTCAATTGCTGCTACAATTATGTCGCACGGCAGATAAATGTGATAAACGGAATCACGAGATTGGGAAGAGTATTGCTAAATTAGCCAAATTACTTTGCCTATTGATCACAAGGATACCTATAACTTGTATAATTGATGAAAAATTTGGCTCAGCTTTATTTCAAATTGTACAGAGTTTAATTTCTTTTAATCTATACGAGGATGCTGCAAATATTTGTCGTATATTACATAAGCCTCAATTGGGTACCAGAAGTGATCTATACGAGGATGCTGCAAATATTTGTCGTATATTACATAAGCCTCAATTGGGTACCAGAACTAGAAGTGATCGTTTAAATGGACTGGATAGGATACCAATTCTAAAAGATTTATGTTCTTTGTGGGAACTGACAACGATCCGCACATATGGAATGTTTATAATCGAGACAAATACAGAAAATTATAATAAATTTAAAATTGTTCTGTTCAAAGAATTGAAAATGATTCAGATGGCACATAAAAATTATACCAGCCATGTCCTTTCCAAAATAAACCATTACTTATGTAAATTAGAGAAACTGAATTATAAGTATATAAAGTATTATAATGATTTTAGTAAATATATATTGGAATACTTCTCGGAACTGCAGTTGCATTTGGACAAGGATGAGAAATACATAACATATCGCCATATACTTATTTTTGTATATCATATAGATAGTTTTATGTTTGACATGAATGGAATTGATGATACAACTGAACGCATTGAAGATGCAGCAAAAATAGTAAAACAATTATTTGAAGAGTTTGAAGCCATTCTGGCAGAGGACGAGGAATGCTACAAATGCTTTCAACAATATCAAAACTTCTGTAAGGCTCTTTTACTGCCAATGAAGAATCTCATCAGCGACAGTGCCAAAAGTATACAAAATATCATACATTGTAATTTAAATATTGCGCAACAATACGGATATACTGGATGTCTTAAGTTGAATGCATTCAGCTTTCACAAGGTAAACAACTTCGTGATTACCTACTGGAGAAATTGTGCGTGGACTGATAAACACATGCTTAAGCATTTGCTCGATTCTGGCATCTTGCCAGAATTAATAAAATTTTATATTCATCTAAATACAGATGAGTTTTACATCGACCAAGTGTGGATTGAATGTCACAGTAGAGGGTGCAAAAACAAAAACTGTAATATCAAGCAGGACTTAGACGATTTTATAACAAGAAAAATAGATATTTCTTATTTGATAAAAGACTTTCCTACTAAAACTTTGCCAGCCGAGGTATGTAATCTTGCTAGGAAAATCTTGGAGCAAAACATCAAATCGATCATTTATGAAATAAAGAAAAGCGAATGTATCCGTTGGATGCATAACTGGAGTATTTGCTGTAAATTAATTTATGAACTAGGCATATTGTCTGAGCATGTTTATGAGGAAAGCGTACATCTATTCTCCTTTTTATGTACCTGCGTCGTTGAACTCGAAGGAATAGAATCTATATATCTCAAAAATTCTAAGAATCTTAAGAAGATTACTTCTCTCGGATTGCACGGACTAAGTGTTGTGCATTACAATAATAAAATGTACAGAAAAGCCATGACTGCGTGTGCATTGAATGCTTTATTGACTTGTAAGCAGTCGGACACAAAAGCTTTTCATATGTGGATGCGTATTAAGGAAAATGCCCCCAAAGAAGTTGCAAACTTAACTATGCTGGAGTGCTTGAAAACTAAAGACAAGATGAAGAGCGAACTGGGATTTTCATTCGATACCTCCAAATACGATCTTTCTAAATTGATTTTACGTGAAAAAGCGGCAGCAGATCTCGACGATTTTGGTATATTTCTCGCGACTGGGATTTCTCGAGTCTGGAATGATGTTGGAGAGGAAACGAACATAGCAACATATTTTGAAATAACAAGCGCAGATTTTTCTCTTGATTCTTCTAGTGATGAATAAACATGTTCGTCGAATATAATTATGAATTTGTACTGTATATCTCTTTATATCTCTGATGTATGTACACAGATATGGCAATTTTGATATGGCATACGTTGGTTTTCAGCAAGTTCATTAGTTATAATAATTGTTAAGTAGAAAGTTTATTGATGTTGGCATGTTAGCGCATAACTTTAATGTATAGTTTCATGCAAGTTTATGTTTGTAAAGATTATCGGTTTTACACATATTTTTGTTTCCACAGATTTTTGTTTTCGCTGATCTTTGATGCATTAAATTTCGTTTGAATATCCTATGATATAATCTTTTACGACTCTTTTATTATATTATCCCTAAACTGCATTGTACAGGATGCTGGAAAATGATTAGATATGTTTCAAAATTCAAAATGTGTTTGTTAAACTAGGGAAATTAAAAATTGTTTAATCTATATTAATTTATTTTAAAAAAGACTTAAAAAAAATTAATTATTTTCGTTAAATACTTTTAAAACTGCAGCTGACAAAGTCTAATCAATCTTCCATATTTTCCATTTTAAAGTCAATATGATCCTGAAACCTAAAAAAAATAATAATCCGATCTCACAAAATCTCACTAAATATTAATTGATCACAAAAAGTTAAGAGGAGATTCGAGCAATTTTAAAAAGACAAATCGAAATTATATCCAACATTCGAAAGGTTAATTATAATGTTATTTTATTACTATTATATGACTAAATTTTATTATCTTTTATCGTTTATTTTTACGTATACGTATACAGTTACAAAGTTGTGAAAATTAAAAAAAAATACATGTATTCGTGCAACAATAAACGTGTGTTGCAAAAATTAGAAAGTAATTGTATATAATTTAAATTTTTCACTGTCGATAATAAAATCTTTGTTATCCTCGGTACAGCCAAAACGGTTGGTAATGTCATCGTTCCCCCCTCCCCCCCGGGCCCACTTGACAGTCGCGAAAATTCGTCTTCTGAGTTTCTGACCGACAGTCCAGTCTTTATTTAATATATTAAGTAATAACCTCGGTCGGCGCCTTTAGCTTCTTACGAAATCTCGTATTTGGTAGAGTTTTCATGAAGCTGTTGGGGAAGTTGATCCCCGGTCATTTGGCACAGCGACGTTGCTCTCTCGCGACAGAATCACTTGGGTGATCGACGAATGACGATTCTCACTGCCGTTGACTTGATCCGACCTGATCCACCTGCAGTCCCAAGAAGGATATCTTGGTTATCGTTCGCGTGAATCCACAACGAATGATGGAGTTTGCGTTTCGCCTGGCAGATATCTGCTGACCGAGAAAGAACACACATGCTTTATATTGCAGCGAACCGACGTAGAGTCTCTGTCATGACTTGAGTCGTGCCACCGTCGCGATAACATATTCCGAAATAAATGCTCGAAGGTGAGGTGCGCCGCGAGATCGCCGATCGCGATAATAGGACAGATAGGATCACTGACCTATGCTAATCCATAATATTGTTTTCAATTCTAAAACGATGAGTCTGTGATTTCATGTGTGTCACACATACATAACGTACGTATAAAACTTTTAAGGACACCAAGGGGAGGCGGATGAGAAGCAGTAGTTGCTGCAGCAACTCAATCGGAAAGGATGCCGGTCGGTGTGTTCCCAGCCCTCAAATTGGGCGTGCTGTTCGTCAAGCAGATCAGTAAACCCCTGGCCAAGTTTCTCGTCAATCAGGCGAAGAGCCATGCTATTTTCAGGACCTATTTCATCATACCGCCCGCTCAGTGTGAGTGCATACCTTTTGCTTTTTTTTTCTCACGCGACGCGGCATGAATTCACATTTCACACACACAGGCAGGTGTGATTACGATTGTTTTGCGTGCTTGCAGTTTATCACTGGGCGGAGGTGAAGGCGAAGATGTACGTCATGAACCTCGGCAAGCCCACGAAGGTCGCCAAGCTGAACGAGGCCATGGCGATCGAACTGGGCGCCAGTCTGATGGGCGAGTTGATCATCTTCAGCGTAGCCGGGGCGTGCGTGGTGCTGGAGTACAACAGGCAGGTGACGAAGGAGGCGAAGAAGGAGGAGGTCCGCCTGATGCAGATACAAAAGTTCACGGACGACATTCAGGCGTTGCACAACGCCACGCTGCAGCAGGAGGCGCAAATCCATTATCTGCGCAGTGCGGTCAACGAACTGGCGAGGCACACTAAGCACAAGTTAGCCGAGCCAGTGATTGTCACGCAGCCGGCGGATGACGGCGGTGACAACGCGAAAGACGACGCGAGGAGGAATTCTAGTAGCAAAAACTCAACGGATGCGAATCCGGGAAGTGAGAGCGCATCGTTGATAGAGCGTGGCATAGTATATTATAACAAAGAATTGAAAGGGAGTAAGCTTAGTTAAGCGAGGTTTTGTACTCCTTTTTTGGGATGTACTTAATATGTACATACATACATTTTGAAAGTGAACAGATGTTGGCTAATATATAGGTGCTGGTATAAAAACATTCGTAACATTAAGCTGTACATAACAAAATTTGGTTCTGCGTCGTGTATTGTAATCTGTTTTTGGATTGCAATTAACTCGATCGTGCTAGTCCTGAGCGAACGTTTAGATATACTTCTTCTGTAAAAATACACCTTGGCACCTTGCCTATATGTACGTACATATATAATTTTAACATAAATGTAGATACGTGTGATAATAAAATTTACATAAAAATTTATATGTATAATCTTCAGTTTTGTATCATTTCCTTCTATTTTTATATCGTTCATGCGTGTATATTATAAATTCGATAAAATTTATTATTGCGCGAATAAATATTTTAAATAAAATTGTAGAGTTATCTGTTTTATCTGTTATAAAATTTTTGTCGGATTAGCGACGCCCGTAATTACCGACAGTCAATAATTTGACAGATTGAATTTCAGTAAAATTCAAAAATTTCATTATATGTTTGAATTTATAAAATACAATCGAAACGTCATTTCGTTCTCAGTTATACATATATTTTTTCGATATATTTTTAAAATTGTTGTATAGGTAATGGAAAATATTAACTTATCTGTAAGTTATCGACAATAAGTTACGCATTATACGAATAATACATATAACATCAATATTAATAACTCGTTATTCTTATATGTAGAAAAAGAAAAATAAAGGGTGCGGTCCACCTGACGCCGCATGGTGCTTCGAAATATTTGACTGACCAATCGAAGCGAGTGCTTCCCAAGTGCACTTGAACCGTAGCCAAAGAGACACGCAAGATAAACAAAGCGCGACTAATGCAAATTTAATGCATTTGTTCAATACGCCAAAGCGATTGTATATGAAATGTTGTTTCCGCTAACGTAGCATCGCGTGTGCCGTGTCAAATCTCGTATGTCTTAATTTTACACAACATTTAAAAGCCTAAAGATGTTTATGAGGAGGAAAAGGTTATCGGATAACGCGGAGTCCGAAGCGACCGATTCGAGAAAGCTCGAGAGGAAACAGTGGATCGAAATGGGCAACAGTTACGTCCTCGCACTGTGGGGCCTGATTATGCATTTAATCCTACTGTGGGGTGTGTTGGACGTTAACTTTCATTCGCCTGTCATCAGAGGACTGCCAATCGTACCGGCGCCCACCGGAGCACCGGCCAAAAGACTGCTGCTCTTCGTGGCGGATGGTCTGAGGTTTCAGACGTTTATAGAGAAGCCACCACCTTACCTCAGGTATTCGACGATATTTATTTATTTTTTTTTTTATTCGAGAAAACGATGACAGAGTTCTGTCATTTTATATAATTTTATGGAATTTTTGTTAAGAAAAGTAAAAATTAATCTACCCTAATAAATAAATATTGTATATCAATAAGAATATCTGATTCATTGTATTTTTGTTTTAATATTTATTTTATTTTATTGGATAAAATAAAAATACTTTTTTTTTTTAGGGATGCGATGAAGAATAGGGGTGTCTGGGGAATATCTCACACCAGAGTGCCTACAGAATCGAGGCCGGGGCACGTCGCAATCGTCGCGGGATTGTACGAGGATCCCAGTGCCATCTTCAAAGGGTGGCAGGAGAATCCGGTGGACTTTGATTCTGTCTTCAATCAAAGTCACGCTACTTGGGCCTGGGGCAGTCCGGATATAATACCGATATTCACGAAAGGTAACTCTAAAGAGAGAGAGAGAGGCAACAGCGATTTTCGTTACTTCTCACGCTTAAGTTGAAATTTCGAAAAGACAGGCAGCAAACGAAACGTTCACGGACAGAGTTATCCGTCCACGTGGCAGGATTTTGACGCTAACAGCAATGAGACAAGACGCCTGGACTCCTGGGTGTTTGATTCTTATTTGAAATGGCTGCAATCCTCCACGGCCGAGGCGGTGAGAAGTCAGAATGGGATCATCTTGTTCTTTCATCTGCTGGGATGTGACACTCTGGGACACGCTAAGAAACCACATTCCAGGTATCCGAGAGCTTACTTTAGATAGCTGTTGACTGCTTTCGAAGCGCACAGATTTATTAGTAAAATGGAAATCCTGAGATCAGAGAGTACGTGGAAAATATGAACTACGTCGATCGGAAGATCAAAGAGGTTGTGAGCGCGACGGAACACTTCTTTGGGAGGGACACCACCGCTTATGTATTCACGTCGGACCACGGAATGACCGATTGGGGATCTCACGGAAGCGGTCTGCCGTCCGAGACTGAAACGCCGTTGGTCGCATGGGGAGCAGGAGTAAAATCGTCTGGCTTCCGTCAAGATGTCGAACAAGCGAGTATAACTCCCTTGATAGCATCTCTAATAGGAATTCCTATTCCCATAAATAATGAAGTAAGTGTTTATGCGACACACGTATTAATTTCGCTAGGATTAGATTTATGAAGAAGAATCTTTTCTTACTTCTAGCTTTTTTTACGTAGCCATAGAAGGAACTTGGTTTACAGTTTTCCTTATCCACACTCATTCACTCCTTCTACTTTTGGCCTTTAAAAATCTAAATCTACTAGAATTTATCTACTCCTAGAATCATCGTGCTTACAATGTCTCTCCTATTCCTATTTTCTTATCCTACGTAACTTTTACCACTAAATATTTCTATCCTCTCTATACAATTTACATTCTTATCCTATACTCAAAGTTTTTCTTCTATTTCTATATTTATCAAGCCTCTTTCTCAGGATTAGATTTATGTAATACATCTGTATCCATACAAAATATTCATTCGCGTAATACTTTTTTTTAGGGGGCATTACCGTGGCAGTATTTCGACATGGATTATCGCGAGTATGTCGCACATTCTTTAATCAGCAATGTGAAACAGCTCGCGCATCAAGTAAGCGGAAATCGCGAGATAAGCTGTCAAAACAGTGGTTACACCGACTGGCGGGAGGCACGCTTGAACGACAAAATTCGTAAAGCCAATCAGCATATCAGTAGAAGAAATATAATGGCAGGAATTCGAGAGGGCGATGATGCAATTAGTTTCAGCAAGGAAGCCTTGTCGTACTTCAGACAGTATCAACGAATACGATTTTTAGTATGTTTATCGTTGATGTGGCTTGGCTGGATAGTTTTATTATTCTTAAAAATAACTGGAGTACAGCATCAATCTTCGCAAAAATCTACATTAGTAAATATCGGATTTGCGAGTCTACTAGCACTAATATGGATTAGTCATATAAGTGAGTAACCACTTCCGAACGAAATGTATCAACGCAAACGATTATGTCGCTTTTGTGACAATTTCCACGTTAAATTAAATCAGTGATTTTATTTGAAAAAAAAAATGGACACGCGTTAATTTTTATTTACAGTGTCCAATTGCGACAACTGGAGATTGCCATGCTACGAGTCCCTCGCTATAATCTCTGTATGGCTTACCGCTGCTACTTTCATCACATCGACACCTCTATTTGATACAAATACAGAGAACCTATACATAAATATTGGAGGCACGGTGTTGCTACTGGTGATGCTATTTATTGGATTTACATACAGATTTACTCTCAGCATAGGAATATTGTTGCTCATGTTGATACGGCTGATAAAGTCAGAAAGTGTACCTGCTTTTATGGTTTGGACGTCGCTAGCACTGGCTGTGTTTCCATTACTGCCTGTCGTCGAGCCGTATCCACGCGTTTATATTGTGTAAGTCTATCTCTCAAATGCAATCGAGTCAGATATTCGCAAAATGATTTTAAATGGAAACAAGATATCGATCAGATTCCTAAAAAAAAAATTATCCTTTTTCCTTTTTATGTGAGATTGGAAAAAAATATGAAAGACCTATGGGAATCTTGTATAAAAATTTTTTTTATTAGACCTAATATTTTCTTTATTCGATTTTAGGATAATCGGCGTATGCGTAGCAATAGGCATAGTGATTATTAATGAGATGTCACAAAGCCGGAAAATAATGGAAGTTATACGTCTAGTCATTACGAGTCTTGTGTACATAGAGCTTATTGATGGCCGGTATTGGATATCGTGGATTATCCTGCTGACCACACCACTGTACATTTGGTATCATCCGGTGGATACCAAGAAAAGAACGTTGGGCGTAATGCTCGGATTTTTCTGCCCTCTCACGTTACTGTCGGCATCGTACGAGCCGATCTTCTTTGCGGCTCTTACAATCAATTTACTATCTTGGCTGGAAGTTAGTTCACCTACCTCAAAGAGCTCGGGGGAGCGAGGAGAGATCACGGAAGACCTGATCAAAGCGGTGTTTTTTGTATCCTTTCATTAACTTTTAGAATAATCTTTTATGCCGTAAGATTTTTTTTTTTTTATTAAGAGTGAGTGTGATATTTATACATGGCTTGATTAAAGATAAATAGATCAGAGAAAAAGAAATAGAGCTTTAAGTTATTAATTTTGTGACACTCATCTCTTGCGTATGGCTGACATAATAGACAAAACTATTGTTACTTATATGTATATATATCCTTAATATCTTATTATAGATGTTGTACATATTATTGTGCTTCTTCGGCACGGGAAATATGGCGAGCATTAGCTCATTCGATCCGTCCTGGACACGCCACTTCGTCACCGTTTTCTCCCCGTTTCTGATGACGTCCTTGATAATTTTTAAACTTAGCATTCCTGTGATATTAGTGGGATGCGTGTGCTACTCTTTAGAATCGGAAGAATGTAAAAAGCCCATCACTCTAGCTGTGCTCCTCTTAGGCGATTGTCTGTCACTGCCTTTGATGTATTGTGTCACGCCATATGGCAGCTGGCTCGATATCGGTAGCGCTATCAGTAAATTCGTTATTGCTATCACTCTTCCCTGTCTCTTTGTACTGCTGCGGTGTCTCTCGCGTCCACTTATGAAAGTTGACTTGGAACGATCTCAGATCGGTATACTATCTCAAAAGAAGCATATCGTATAGAGATTTTTATATAATTAGGAAAATTAAACCAATGACTGTTTTGAAATTTGTCCATGTATGTGTTCGTTACTGTCATTACATTTAAATAGCTAGACAAATTTGATAAAAAAAATTGAACAAATACTTGTCTGTGTGTATGTATGTGTATATAATACACATATACACATTTTATATATATATATATATATATATATATATATATATATATATATATATATATACATGTTGGACTGAAGTCTACATTCTTAGGTAATTTATTTGTATTACATAAAAATAGATAATTATATTTATTGGAAAATATATATGTTATTCGTAGCGTTATCATTAATTTATCGTTTACATCAATGTATTCACAGCTAATACGACTTTTTTATTAATCACTTGTACGATGTGTAAACATGAAATATAAAAAGTCATTTTTAAAAGGTATAACCATATCACTGTTAAAGTGATATATTAAGCCTAATCTTTCTTTTTTTTTTTTTCATGTTATTTCGAACACTTTAATTCCTATAATACAGTACATATATAATTGGGGAAATAATGTATTTAAAATTTAAACTCTTTATACTTCTTAGATGTCTTTGTATCCTGGATTTGCTGGCGTTTACGTTTGCTCTGCAACAGAAATAGATACCAATATATAAACTCAAAATTGACAATAATAGAAAACGACTTAATTATATTCTAATTTTAAGAATCAAATGTATTTATATATTTATATGTATTGCTATATTAAATATATATATCTGCACGTAAATATATAATTTGCTTTTCAATACGTACCTTCTGTCGTTGTACATGATCTTGCAGCATGTCCGACAAGTCTTCTCTCCTGAGATGCGCTTGTCTCGACCTCATCGTCTCCTCGTATCTGGATGCCATCGCCTCGGAGTCGAGGTCCAGCTCGCTGGGATCCAGCGTCAATTCCACCGCCCCGTCCTTCTCCGCCCGTGCGTCGCTCGCGCTGCCGCTGATGGCACCGCGCCGCGCAGCGATCACGGACGGCGGTGCCTGGCCACCCGCCGCGCCCGTCATATCGTATACGTGGGTGCTACCCATCATACTGGCGCCCAGACCCTCCGTACGTCGCTCCTGCAGCACCGTGTAGAGCGCGGGCGTGTCGCCGCCCTCCATCTCGCTCTCGATCTTCTTCTTCCTCAGCTCGATGGTCTCCGGGGTCTCCAAGCCCGCCGGGATCGACGTGATGCCGCTCGGCGTGATCAGGCCCTCGGCACCGGGCGTGACCAGACCGCTGGCGTCGCCGTCCCCGTCCTTTCCTTCACCCTCGCCGCCCTCGCCGCCCTCCTCGGCGTCCTCGTCCTCGTCCTCGTCGCCCGACGACTCGGATTCGGGCTCGCCCCACATCCCCCGGTCGACTTCCTCGTCCATCGCGTCCGCGCCGGACGTGCGCGATATGCCGAACACGTCCCCGTACAGCGGCCTCCCCGTCTCGTCCACCGGCGGTTTTCCCCATCCGCCCGCGTGATAGCCGAACGCGCAGCCCTCGGGAATGGGCGCGTTCAAGCCGGGTATCTTGAGATTCGGGTAACTCGGCGGCGGGCCGTAACGTTGCATAGCTATGAGCCAGGGCGGCGGGACTTTCTGGCAATTCGGCCCCACCGGCATGCCCAGGGCCGTGCGCAGCTCGTCCGACAGCTCCCCGGGTTTCTTCTCCTTCAGACGCGTCTCGAACTCCTTGCCCTCGTAATAGAGATCGCCGTGGATCGTCATACGCGGCTTCGTCTGCCACTTGAAGAACGCGTCGTGCAACTTCTGATAGTCGATGTCGATCTTGCCCAGCTTCGGCCGCGCTCGCTCCCGCATCTTCGCCTTCAGCGTACGCGTGTCGTCGCGCTCCTGCAGGCTCGCCCTCATCTCCGTGATGCCGGTGCGCTTGATGAAGTCCGGCAGGTCGAAGGGCGGCTTCTCTATGCCGCGCTTGCCCTGGAGGTACTTGCGCTTGAAGCACCAGTGCCTCGGCACCGGGACCGTGTTTCGATGGGCCTTCAATTGCACGAGCAGCTTCGGATCTCGCGCGGTGACGTCGTGCATCTCCACGACGTCCGGGCGGCCCACCAGCTGCTTCAGCTCCGCCACGCTCAGTCGCGTCAGCCTCTTGAGCTTGCGCTTGGACAGCCGCGGCGCGCCGTTCTCCCCGGTGCCCGGCTGCTGCTGCTGCTGATTCGCCTCGTCGTCGAAGTCGTCCAGCAACGGCACCTTGCTCGGTATGCCGGCGCCGGCGGTTTGTATATTCGCCACCGGGGGATACTGGCCGATGGGCTCGCCCTTGTCGGCCGCGTCGTTCGAGCTCGGCTCCAGCTCCACCAGCTTGAACGCCTCGATGATTCGGACATATTGACGGTACTGGGGCTCCACGTCGTTTATACTCAGCTCCTCCTGTACGTACTCTATCTCCGGCATGTCCTCCTTAGCCTTCGCCTCGTCCGCGTCCTTCCTCTGTTCGGAATCCCTCCTCTCCGCATTGTGCCTCTTCCTCTTCGACTTCTTCTTCTTCTTCGTTTTGCTCGATTTCGAGTCCACCTTCTCGGCCGTCGGTTCCAGTTCCGTTATGACATCCTCCATCTGAGGCACGCCATCCTCGCCGTCGTCATTGGGCGACTTACTTACGGCGACAACGTCGTTCGGATCGCCGCCCACTTCCTTGGCTCTCTCCGTCTTGAATGCCAGAGCCTGCTCCAAAGCGGCCGGTAGCTTGACGGAACCGCCGTCCTCCTCCCCGACGCCGTTGTCGACATTCTGATTTTGCAGTTCCGACGGAGGAGCAACCTTCAAGCTCAGGAGACTCGGAAGGTTCCTGGCGTCCATCGTCGAACGACTGAAACGAGACTCGCGCTTAGGACAACACTCGTAATTCGTGCGATCGAGAGACGGACATATATCTACAAATTGAACGTTTCCGTTTACTTCATTTCAAGCGGTTTACTAACTGTAAACATGACACGAGGGAGACGAAATACGAGGTTCAAGTACGTTTTTATACCTGCAAACGAGTCGGGTGGATGGTCTAACAGACGCGTGTGCGTGCGTCAATACGTATGCAATCCTTGCAGTTCCTTACTTTTCGCTAAACATTAAAATTTCACTTCCCGGCACAACCGACTCCGAAACCGAATCCCTTTACTCTCGCAAGAGTCGCAAGCCACAAACAATCATAGATCACCCTAGAGTCCTAGATTATCAGAGAAGCGCGACCGGTGTTACGAGTCCTGATTGGACACGCAAATGGCCAATCATAAGATTGATTTATCGCTATT